CACAGCCACCTCACCTTGCCAAATTCCTCAACTGATCCTGTTTCCTCAGACTAGAACCTTCTGAGTCCTCATCCAAATGGTCTCAGCTGAACTGCTGCTAAAAGCCTAAAAGCTTAATAGTCTCTAGTTCCTGTTCCTTACGCCTTATATACCTTTCTGCTTACTGCCATCACTTCCTGGGATTGAAGGCGTGTGTCACCATGCCTGGCTGTTCCCAGTGTGGCTTTGAACTCAGAGATCCAAATGGATCTCTGCCTCTGGAATGTTAGGATTAAAGGTGTGTGTTCCACCATTTTCTGGCCTTTGTATCTAGTGGCTGTTCTGTCTCTGACCCCAGATAAGTTTATTTTATGGTGCACAATATATTGGGAACATAATATCACCACAGATGGGATTGCAAATGTAAGCCACTGGGGCTGGAGAGTGGCTCAGAGGTTAAGAGCACTGGCTGCTCTTCCAGAGGTCCTGAGTTCAATTCCCAGCAACCACATGGTGGTTCACAGCCACCAATAATTTGATCTGGTGCCCTCTTCTGGCATGCTGGTAGAACATAATAAATGTTCTACATATATACATAATAAATGAATCTTTAAAAAAAAAAAATGTGAGCCACTTTGTGGGCCTGGGCTACAAAGTTTAAGTCACTGTAAGTTCCCCAAATGAAAATAGTCAAGAAAAAATATAAATTATGCCTCTGTACTCCTGGGGTAAGAGAACTAAAAATAAATAGCTATAATAGTTCTTTTCCCCAAGAGTAGTTTTCCTGGGACAAAGAGAAAATGTAAGTCCCTTTCCCTTTATAGGAGGCCTATATTTCTCCAATGTGTCTAGGATTTGCTGTCTAGCAATGGACTTGCTAACACTTCCTAACTTCCAATGCTTTCCTCAGCCAGGCGAGTTCATGGGGAACACAGAGAAGGAATGAAAGTGGTATTTGTGTGGTCACTGACCTAGAAGGCACAAGCAGATCTCTGTCTGATGGAGACACAGCCTCTTAAGAAACTGGAGTGGCAGCCCAAGGCAATGAGGGTGGAAGTGCAGGAGCAGAATGGAGGGATACCTTTCAGGAATAGGTTTCAATCAGGCTCTCAAGAAAGCCATTTCTGAGGATGAGGATGCAAGTTCAGTTGGGCAAGTGCCTGTCGGACAAAGGTAGCTCTGAGGTCAATTTCTAGCACTGCGTGGTACATGCCTGTAATCCCAGCACTCAGCCCTGAGGTGCAAGCTCATCCTTAGCTACACAAGCAGTTTGAAGACAGCCTACTTACATGAGGCCCTCTCTCAAAATCAAAACAAAACAATAAAAACCTTTCTGATGATGCCACAGTAATTTCTTTACAGTTACTCTTTATTCCTTTAACAGTAATTTTACTTCAGGAATAGTGGTTTCTTCTGGCAATCAAAAAATGTAGCAAAATACAATATAATTAAGACTGAAGTGAAGGAAACCCCTAATGGGGGGGGGGGGGGAGTTTATCCACTATCTAAAAAGGCAGCATGTCCAAAAATCGCTCCATCTAAAATCAGCTCCATCCTTGCCTGCTTTGGGGTACAGTTACTTCTTCTATTTCCTGGTCCCTAGGCTCAAATCTCTGGGTTCATCTAGGGTAGTCTTTTTATTGCCTTTGAGTCTTATAGCTCAAATTCCAAAGATTCTTCCAGCATCTTTAATTCTAGTCACAAAAACTTTTCTTTTTATATCTTGTGTGTGTGTGCCACAGTATACACAAAAATCTGTTCTCTCTTTTCTCCATTTGTGTCCAGAGGGCTGACCTCAGGATATCAAGTATCCTTTACTCACTCAGCCACCTCTCTGGCCCCTAAGTAGTTCTATGGTGTGTCTACTTATGTTCCAGAAGACTCTGTGGGTAGATGTGGTTATCTATACAGATATACCTGTGAAACAATTTTGCTAGTGAGTGCATGAGTGGGTGAGAAGTCTATTAGAGTCTGAAGTGACATGTTGTCTGGCCAGGGTAATAAGGAAATACTGGGGGAACAGCACTTGAACCAGGCCTTGAGTAGGAGGTCTAATTTGGATTAGATATAGCTAGTAGAAGGAACTGGAAGGAAAACACTCAGGAAATAGAGAATGAAGGCTGGTTCCTGAAACTAAGTGTCCAAGAGGTCAATGGTGAGAATAAAGGCTAGGATCAAGTACTGGATGTCTTTGAATGCCTGTCTGAAAGGCCTTAATTCCTGTGCTGCCAAGTCATTTCCTTTCTAGTACTTGCAGGTTCTTGGGAGCTGACAACTGTTTCCACCAGAAACCACCAGGTGCAAAACAAAGTTGGCGGTTCCTTTGTGATCACAGGTCATTCCTTCTGCATTTGTAACTAGTAAAAGAGCTGCTGCTTCAAAAGCTGATGCGTTCAGTATGAACACGGATTGACTTAGGCTGGAGAAAGCGCATCATACTCTGGGAATAGTCCAAACTTGTCAACATCCCATAACCTAACAACTATGATTGAAGTTTGGGAATACCAACTAAATTTCCTGTCATAAATTCCATAATTTCCTTCCTACATTTCCTTTCATTTACAGGCTCTTGCTAAAAGAGCTAAACATAGTCCTATTACCTACAACAGGTCATTCAGATCCAAGGTTAAATAGAATCCAGCTCTATCAACCATTCAGTCTTGCTGGTTACTATGCCTCTGCACTAACTTTTAAGTTAAGAGGAATATATTACAACAGGCTTCATTCACACAGGTTCAACGGAGTTCATTTTAAACCATGTGATAGTTCAGGCTCTTTTTTTTTTTTTTAAAGACATAAACAATATATTCTACAAAAATGTAGGAAGTCTTTAAATCATCTTTTCAAGATGTTATGAATCCACAAAAACCACAAATTTATTGTCATAGAGTGCACAAATGTGGAAAAACAGTTACAATTAACATTAACATAGTAACATCCTCTATCTTGGAATGGGGTGGGATTAAATATATACCTCTGTGAAAAACAATGTTCCCAATATAGTTCACTGGATATAAATTTTATCCCCAAATAAGCCATTAACAAACATTAGTCAATGATAAACATGCCAAAGTACTTAGAGATAAATGTATTGATCTCTGCAGTTTAAATGGGTATGTGATAATTCAAAGTACAGAAAAAATGTTAATGATAGGCTCTAAGTAGTAGATGTGTGATCCTTATAAAATTCTTTAAGCTGGGCAGTGGTGTTGTATGACTTCAATCCCAGCACTCAGGATGGCAGAGGTATGTGGATCTCTGAGTTCAAGGCCAGTCAGCCTGGTCTACGGAGTGAGTTCTAGAACAGCCAGGGCTATAGAGAGACACCTTGTCTCAAACAAACAAACAAACAAATAATAAATAATACCCCATAACAGACTATACTTGATAAAGTTGTAAAATGTTATAAGCTTAAGCAGTAGCAGGCTTTTTTTTGGGGGGGGAGGAGATAGGAGCTCACATTGCAGCCAAGGCTGGCCTAGAACTCACTATCAAACTTGCCATCCTCCTGCCAAATTCTGGAACTAAAGGCAGGAACCACCAAGCACAGTCAATAGCAGACATTTTTGTCCCTTAATTCATACGAACCACCATATACTTACTTCTCACCACACAGCTGTCTCTTTCGCTACATTATAATCTTTTTGTGTCCATAGATACAATTTGATTTGTACTTTTGTTCCCAATCCTTTCCATGTTGGGTGAAAAGTACGTGCTCAGTAATAACAGAATGGCAGAACAAAAGGGGAATATTGCTAAGGACCAGCACATATTTCTAGCAGTTGTTCATTTCTCATATTTTCTAAGTTAATCTGCTCAATTTGCACAAGAAACTTCTCCCAAACACACAAAACGTCCAAAAATAATTTAAGAAAACAGGCATCTATATGGATTTTTTACTCTATTTCTAAAACCTGACCCTGAAGGCATCCTAACGTTCAACATTCAGAAAGAATTCCGAGGCTTCCTGTCCTGGAATTTTATTTGTTCAAATCCTGGATAAAGTCAGAACTAAGGATTCCTGAAACTGGAACTCTGGGAAGAAAACAAACGAGCTATTTTTAAAAGTCGTAAAGCTAACTTATCAAAAACCCCACTAAGACACCTAAGTGAAGCCTTAATTGTAACACTAGACATCTACCCGCCCACCGACCCGGACCCAGACTGGCTCCTCTCCTCCTCCTCCTTCTAATTACAACTACTCAAGAGAGCTGTGGCGCATGCTACTTCCAGGGTGGCAGGAGACCCAGGCGTAACCCTTCGAACCTGCACCTCCTCGCTTTAACACTCCACAAACAACGCGGTCCCACGGTGCAAGCACCTGGTTTGGACCTGAACACACGAGTCCAAGTCCCAGCTCCACTTCCGGGGGGTTGTGCCCTACACGTCTCTTGCACTCGCTGGGTCTGGGGAGGGGAGCGGGTCGTCGTCGGAGAAATGTAATGAATCTCTATGGACTACAGCAAGATGCAGAATGTAAAGGAAGCTTTAAGGAAGATGTAAGCGACTCTCCAACTTGTGAGGGCTGCAGCGCTCGCGGTGCGGGCCGAGCAACCAGAGGACCAATCACAATCACCTCTCCCTTGACTCCCTTCCCGCCGCGCGCTGGTGCTGAGGCCGCTTCCTACGGTCGGGCCCCCGCAGAAGCCTCGCGACGCTGCTTTCCATACCTGCAGCCACCTGGTCAGCGGGGCCCTCCTGCTGGCCCATGACGAAGTCTTGCACGAGGCCACACAGGGCGTCCATAGGCGCCGCCGCCTCCTCTAGAGCGGTGGCGGCAGCCATGACGCGAGCCAGACACTGTGGGAGGGGAAGTAGGCGTGGCCACGAGCTGAGCCTCTCCGCGCACGCGCCTCCACAGCCAATAGTTGGGCGCGGGGCTCGGGGGCGGGGCGCTCCCAGGTCACGTGCCTGCCGGCTCTGGGCCTGGCGGTTCCTCCAGGGACCCAACGGCCCCTCCCCTGAGGGCGGGGCCTGGGCCGGGGCGCGGCACGAGGAGGGGAAGCGACTGCTGGGCACGCAGCCGGGGCGGTTGAGGGCGCATAATTCCCGGCCGCTCTCCCCGGGAGACAGACGGCAGGGCGGGCACCTGGCTGGGTGGGGCCGAGGGGCGGTACGCACCCGGGGGGAAGCCAATGAGAAAACCAGGCCCGGCCCGAGGGGCGGTGCTGTCGGTCACATGCGCACCTGGGACCGCCGGCGGCGGTGGCACGGGCACCCCGAGCGGGAGGAAGGGAACGGGGCCGGGCCGGGGCGGGGTTAGGCAGGTGACTGACAGGCTCCGGGGGGCCGGCCCCAGCTGGGAGCCGCGAGCGATCCAGGAGTAGCTGCGGCGGTGTCCGCCCCCTCCCTCCGCCCCTCCAGCCGGCTGGTCTCTGGCCGGCCACTGTCGCGGGCCCCCCTGGCCTGGCCACCTCCCTCTCCCCTGGCCCGCAAAGTTTGTGGCGAAGCCGGCGTCGGGCAGAGCGCGCCCCGAGGGAGATCCAGGAGCTCCCGATGTCGTGCTGCGGGAGCCGTTGACCCCGGGACGCCGCGGTTTGGGGCAGCAGCGTGGAGCAGCCGGCCGCCTGCCGTCTCCGGTGCATGGGGACCGGTTGAGAAGCCAGCATGGGCAACTGCGTGGGGAGACAGCGCCGGGAGAGGCCGGCTGCTCCGGGACACCCCCGCAAGCGAGCAGGTAACACCAGGAAAGGCAGCGGGGTCCCGGCGCGCCGCCAGTTGGCCCCTGCCTTGCCCGAACCCTGGGGTTCCTGAGCGACCTCCCTCGGTGCTCGGCGCCTGGGTTCCCCTTGGTTTTTCGGAGCCAGACGGGGCCCTCCCCGGCGAGGGTTGGCTGGGAAGCGAGTTGGGGTAACTGCGAGCGCTGACCCGGCTGCGAGGCCAACTCGCTCCCACCGGGAAGCTGGGGGTGGGGGCGGGGGCAGGAAATGTTTCCAGACCGCGGCGAGGCCGGCGGAGGGGGCCGGGCGAGTGCGCCGCTGGTCTGGCAGCCCCGGCCGGGGTCGGCCAGCGGCCGGCCGGGGCGCGGCGTGGGCAGCCTGCGTCCCCAGAAGTAGGAGCGAGCGAGGCGAACACAGTCGCTCCTTCCAGAGAGTCACTGTGTCATTATCGGGCTGCAGATCGTGTCTGCGAGAATCCGACTTTCAAAAGCAGTGCTGGCCCATAGCATAGAAATCTTTTTTCCTCCCCACCCCTCCGCAGGGCTTTTTAGAGCCTCCTGACCGTCTGGGAGTCTAGGAAAGGTGGGGTGCGGGGTGAGTGTCGTCAAGCCTTCTCAGCCCTTGGAATGGGATCCCTCTCAGCCATGAGAATGAGATCTGCTCTCTGGCCGTCTGCGAAGCGCCAAGAGCGCTGTCTTCACTTTCTTGGTGCACCCCTTCTGTCTTGGCGCTCCGTCTGAGGGTCATTTCTCTGGGTCTTGTATTCACTTCTCTGAGGGTGTTGCAAAGAACTTATGCAAATGATAATCTGTGGAGCACAAAGGGACCTTCAACCCTGGTCTGAATTTCCAGATCTACCTCCCTTCTGTGTAACAACTCAAATCCAGAGAAGTTAATCAGCTTCTCCTAAGTCACACAGCTAGTTAGTAGTTCAACCACCGGGGCTGGAATCCAGTGTCGTCTTCCTCCTTGTTACCACATACCCCTTTATGTAAGAGGAGCCACAGGCGCAGTTGTTAATGAAGTGGAAACTCTAGTTGGAGTTTCCTGTCTGCTTTGACACTGAAGGTGTGTTGTTTTGCTTGTGGAAACTGGGAAGGAGGATGGAGAGAACCACGGGGGAAGCAGGGAAGGCAGTCTGTGCAGGCAGAAAGGCTTTTATAGGAGGATGGGGTAAAACTTACTAAAATCCTCTTGAAAGCAACCCTGGCCATTCTTCTGACCAAGGACTTCTGTTCATTCATTCAGTCAATCAACAAATCCTTCTTATTTATAATCAATCTGTCCTTGATTTTGCAGCATGTTTTCACGGTTGACAACCCTTTCCTATCTCAGACTCCCACCACTTCTTTTGTCCACTTATCCATATTCTGGCTTCCTTCCTTTATAATTTTTTTTTTGTAGCCGTAGCCTCCGATTTTCCTTTTTGATTATTCTTCCCCACCCTCACCTGCTAGATTGAGGATACCTGTGGCTTAGTTTGACATTCTGAGTTTTCTCATTACACTCCCTCCCAGAGATAAATTATTTAGTTGCACAACCCTTTGTTCATCAGAAATACTCCTGTCTCCTAGTTACTAGCTTGATTCCCGGACCCCCGTGTCTAGGCGGACATAGGTACTGTGGATATCCTGGTTCAACCCCTCTAAATGAAGTTCTGCCCTTCCTTGCTCACGTGACTTGTCCTGTCTTCTGTCAGCCAGCCACAGAGCCTGCTTGTTCTCCCATGGCGGGTCTTGCAGACATTCCCCTCCCCTCCTGGTTGTTTCCATGCCTCCTCGAGCCCATCTCTTCCTCTAAGCTGCACTGAGTTCTCCTGGGAGCGCTCCATCAGTCATTCATCTGGTACCTGCACACAGTGTTCATCTAGAAGCCGCTGGTGTGTCTAGACTAGAACATGTTCAAGAAATGTTCTGGCCAGACAGTGGTGGTGCACGCCTTTAATCCCAACACTCAGGAGGCAGAAGCGGGTGAATGAGTTCGAGGACAGCCTGGTCTACAGAGTGAGTTCCAGGACAGCTGGATCTACACAGAGAAACCCTGTCTCTAAAAAAACAAACAATAAACAACAACAAAAATCTCTGTACCATCTACCTCTACAAGACCTTTAAATTTCAAGACTGTACAAGTCTGGCCTGTCCTCTTATAACTGGATTGCTTCCTCTTCACTGACATAAGACCAGCAGTGTTTGCATATACCATTTCTCCTTTATGAGAGCCTTTCTTCAGAGTACACCTCAGCTCCTGTATTCATCTATCCATCCTCTTTTCTTTCAAGACAGAGCCATGCTATATAGACAATCAGACTGGCCTAGAACTCCCTGTGTAGCTAGTGTAGCCATGTAGCCTAGGTTCACCTTGAACTCTCAGTGTCCAGAGTGCTGGGATTATAGGAATGTACCACTACATCCTATCTTCTTTAAAAAAAAAAATTTAATTAGCATACAAAATAACGGGTTTGATTTCTGACATTTTCATGCATCTGTGTCACATACTCTGCTCATATCCATGTCCCTTGAAGCACCCTGCCTTGCAGCGCCACGGTCCCCCGCAGAAGGATTGCTTCTGAGAACTCCTGCAGACACATTACCTGTGCTACCTATTTAACAATTATCTGTTGTATGTTATTAGTCGTGTCTTTGAAGTTGACAGTCTTCTATCAGCAGCCACACTGTAGGCCTGGAGACCTGGATTCTGTCTTTTCCTTGTGCTCTGGTCTGCCTTTGTCACTCATCAGTCATACGACCGTGCGTGCACACAGTCAGCACTTAGCACAGCGGCTCCCACAGAGGAAGCACTTGGTTTTGTTACTGTAGAAAGCTAACCTGACTTCAGCCTGCTGCTTTAATCTTTTATGCAAACATTTTGCTGAAGTATATCTACTTTTTTTTTTAACCTGCCAGTGAATGGTTCTTTTAATTCTGTGGACCCTACTATGAATAGTTTTATTCATACAGTCCAAAGCCAGGGGCTACTCTGGAGGATGGCAGATTTGGTACGAGGGAAGGAATCCCTCTTAACTTCGCAGCATGTACTTGGCATCTTGTAATATCTGCAGCTTACTTTTGACAGGGACAGAGTTTCATGTTGTAAGACTAATGTCTAGAACTGCCAGGTGGGGATGGCTCAGAGGTAAAATCCTGGCCTAGAATATGAAGAGCCCTCCACTGAATCTCCATCACTGGGTACGGGTGTGCCTGACCCTTCCCCATAACTGAACAGTAAGTGAACAGTAACTTTTTGCTTTCCTTTGTTCTGAATGGAAAGAAACCCTGAACAGAGACATGGAAGGGGGGTTGGGGGAAAGATGGGGGGGGGTTGGGACGGGACACCAATAAGAGGCTCAGCAGGTAAAGGCACTTGGCACCAAGCCTGGCCCCTTGAGTTTAATCCTTGAGACCCACATGATAGGAGATGACCTCCCAATAGTTGTTCTCTGATTTCTGTACTCATGTCTGGACAGTGCACACACGCACACAAATAGATGCCGTTGTTTTTTGTTTTGTTTTGTTTTTTTTGTTTGTTTGTTTGTTTGTTTTTGAGAGAGAGAGGTTGGGCATTGTGGCACACACCTCGAAGTCCAGCACTCTGCATGCAGAGGCAGGAGAATCTGTGAGTTTGAGGCTGGCCTGGTTTACAGTTTTAGTTTCGGGCCAACCCAGGGTTACATGGTGAGACCGTGTCTCAAAAACCAAAACAAAAAAATGGAAAGAGCCTGAAGTCTAGTCCTAGGCCTCTGATCTAGACAGATCAACATGCCTCTCTGAGCCACATTTCTAATGTGTCAGCAGGGGACAGAGTTATTCAAGGTCATTATTGCTGCTTTATCTTCTTCCGAAAGGTGATTGTTCCAAACTGGAGTTACTGGAGTGAAAGGTGACTCACAGTGCCACCCTTTGTCCTTAATTCTGTCTTCTCAGTCATTTGACAAGTGACACGGACTCAGTGCCCCTGGGTGAGGAATCTCGGTCAGAGGACGTTTTGCTGGAGTCTCTTCTCTCCTTTACCATAGTTCCTGGCAGTCAGTAGTGATAGGAAGACCCTACCCACTGAGCCATCTTGCTGGCCTGATTGTCATTTTTTTAAAATAGAAATAAATACTGTTTTTAAGATTTATTTTGATTTTATTTATGTGTGTTCTGTTTGTGTCTGTGGATACCCACAGAGGCCAGAAGATGGTTGGATCTCCTGGAGCTAGAGATACTAGCAGTTGGAGCCATCCAGTGTGGGTGCTGGCACTGAGCTCAGGTTCTGGGGATATAGATGGGATAGCCACCCCTCAGCCCCCAGATAAGTAGTGTTTACTAGCCACATTTGTCTCATTTCCCATTGGGAACTTATTTGAATGCTAATGGCTGGGGAAAGGAATACCATGCACTTATAGTACTCTTCATTTAGTGACATTTTAAATTTTCTTTGGGTAATAACTACAGATTTCAAAGAAACTAATGTATTTTTAAATGCTTTTTGAGACATAGTCATTAATTTTTCTTATTATGTAGCCAACTTTTAAAGGTACTTTTTAGCCATCCGTGGTAGCACACACCTTTAACCCTAACATTCAGGAGGCAGAGACAGACAGATCTCTGTGAGTTCGAGGCCAACTGGTCTAAAGAGCAAATTCCAGGACAGCTAGAGTTACGCAGAGAAACCCTGTCTCAAAACAGCCAAAAAACAAAACAAAACAGTATTTTTTTTTTTAATTGTCGTTCTGAATACAACCTGAGTAGGCTCAGGTTCCCTTTCTGTAGGTGTTGGCTCTCCTGGCTACTTCCAAGACTACTCGAGGATTTATTCCTGTGGAGGGTACTTCCCACACAGTAGCTCAGGTCCATCAGTATCCTGCCCAGGAACTGGGTGCAGCCACTGGGTCCCAGCCTCGGCAGAGAGAAATCGAGGCGGCAGAGCAGGCCAGTCTGTTGTGGGGCCCCACCCTGTGAGAATGTGGCAGGGCTGAAACCCACATGTCTGCCCCTGTGATGTGCCTGGTGCCTCCACTTGCATTCTGTACTCTAAA